TTTTTTTGTATCCAATTTCTAACTTATTTCTTTTAAATTGTGAGAAGCTTGAGATAAATATATAAACTTGATCATTTACAGGAATGGGTTATCTTGTCAACTCGTCATCAACAATGAGTGATTTTATCCACGATAACTTGAGAATAAAATATCACAGTGTCCATCTATCATATCTATCCAAAACAATCAAGTCAGTAACTAGCTAGTTTCTTAGAATATTCTTCACATTTTGAATGTACGTTTCTAAATGTCTTATTTTTTGCTTAAGATATAAGTAACTACTTTTGCAGGGCAGGAGTTGATGTGAGGGGTTACTTCATTTGGTCATTTCTTGATAACTTTGAATGGGGTCAGGGTTATACTAATCGATTTGGCATCACTTATGTTGACTACGTTAATGGGTTGCAAAGATATTTCAAGAATTCTGCCTTGTGGTTCCATAATTTCCTTAGAAAAGAAAACATAGCTAGTGCTACTAACTCGTCTCTATTTTATTCTGAGTGATTATGTTGAATGATCATCACCAAAATTCTAGAAGCAAGGAGATATTTTGCAGAAGTTAGAAAAATCAAGAAAAAAAAAAGATCAATCTAAAATAATGAAAACAATTTAAGAATAAAGTCGATGTATAGAATTGTGCAAGTTGATGTATTTTCTTTGAATGTTATTTTGTGACTTGTTTTGTGTAGGAGTACCATTTGTAGAATTGTGTGTGATGGAGTATTTTAGTAAAAAATATTTATCATGCCTCTTTTAAAAGATCTCCGTTGAATCTCACAATATCTCACTTGCAATATGTCAACGACATGGTCCTCTCAAGGGAAGCATCCTAAGAGGTCATCTAGGCCTTTAAATGTATCTTCAAGTGGTTATAATTGACATCCAGCCTTAGGATTAATTTCAATAAGAGTGCTCTTTATGGTGCTAATGTGGATGAATCCTAGCTAAATGTCATGCCCCAAAACCAAGAGCGAAATAGACACTGTATACTTATGAGTGGGTCCCATAAGTGTACAAGGTTTAAAACCAGTTTAATATATTATGCAATAATCCATATCTTCTAATAGTCCACTAAAATCTATAAAAAGAAATAACTTACATGATCTAAAATCTAATCTCAATCAACTAGTAAGTGAACTAGTCAACTAGCACACCACTCACCCTAATCCCAAAGACTCAAGTCTAGTTACCTAAAATGGTGGACAAGAACAAAAATGTGAGATAAATCTTAGTAAGTAAATTATGGGTAGCCACACTTTAATTTAGAAGAAAGCATGATGGATATAGCACATCAAAATAGTACTTCTAGTTTCAATCTAGTAATGCATAATAATAATAATAATAATAATCTCTTAGTGGTCTTTTCATCTAGTCATGGCTAGTATTTATACTCCCACTCACAAGATAACAAAAATAATTAGTGTTTACACTCCCACTAGTAGGATAATAGGAATAACCACTATTTACACTCCTACTGGCATGATAATAGGAATAACCAATGTTTACACTCCCACTGGCAGGATAACAGGAATTACCAATGTTTACACTCCAAATGGTAGGATAACAAGAATAACAACAAAATCGGACAAACAATGTAGGCATTTAAATAGGGAACATAATTCAGATTGTTTCAGACATTTAAACAAGAAAGTGAAATCATAATCCAAATTGTTTCAACAGGTATATCTCATAACAAAAGCATGCCCAAACTTCAATAAATAACAATTATAAACCTAAATATCAAAGTGTGTCATACTTATATCAACATAAATCAAGTTAGATCCTACCACCACCTCTCAAAACAATTCAAAAATATGCTTTTAAACCCTTAGTTTAGAACCATTAGCAAAACTAAAAATTTACTTACCTCATTTTGCTAAGAATTAAAATTCCTCAAGAACCAAGAATTTAGATATAAAAATTTTTAAGAATCATAGAGTAAAGACAAATAATAGAGCTAAGGACTACAAAAAATTTGAACACTAGATCAGCAAGAACTTGAGGGAAGTTCTGATTAGATTTTGAACTAAAAATTCCAACAGAATTTGCATCCAAAAATTGACCAAACTATCCTGAATGGTTAACAAACCAACTATAACCTTATGTCTTAGCTTTCAATAGGGTCAATAATCACCTTAATCTGAAATCTATAGAGGAATTTATGACCAGATTACTAACACAGGGTCAAGCTATCAATTCGGATCAAAATTAAATGCTAATCTTTTGTTTATTTGATTTACCCAAGTGTAACAACAAAAGCATATCAGAGCTAGTTCTTTTACTTTGTATCCCCTTAATAGATCTTCAATCCAATATGAACAATAACTACATAAATTAGAAATCAAACCCAAAATAGTTTCTACTTACTCTCATTGTTACCTCTAAAATTTCTTGAACAACCTTCAAATTTGTGCATATCCAAAACTAATTTCTAAAAGCTCTAAATTGTAAGTTGACATAATTTCTAGATTCCAATATAAAGATTTAATGAAATAACCAAACTAAATAGAACTTAAGTTTGCCAATTTATCAAACCACAATGGCTCCAATTACCAACCATTCTCTTTGTGCAACTATCACCCAAATACCAGAATTTATTTGAGTAAAACTGATGGAATAATAGCACTAAAAGTGTTCCAGCAACCAATTTAGCAAGCACTAAAATTTTATTTGGGTAAAACACATAGACTAACAGCACCTAAAGTGTACTAACAACCAATTCAGCAAACACTAGAATTTGTTTGTGTACAAGAGGTAATATAGCAACACCCAAAGTGTTCTAGCAACCAATTTTGTTCCACAATTTAGCACTAATTAATTAAAATCAACTTAAAGCAATGGTTACGTGCTAGAATTTTTCCAGAAAGAAGAGCCAGATTTGGCATTCACAAACTGACAGAATCAGAGGAAAGAATTGTGGAAATTATCACCCAAAATTAAGATAACACAATATTAGAGTTAACCCAACTCAATCAAGGATGAAAAGATGAATTGTGGCTATTTTTCTTACTAGAAAGTTGTAGAAAGAACATTTACAAAGTAGTTAATCTCTGCCGAGAAAGGAAGAATGGACAACATCAATCTTGATTAGGAGAAGAAGAAGCATCATGGAGAGACTAGGAGGTCGATCAAAGGTTTTGGATTTAGAATGGAAGAGGAGGAAAACCAGAAAAAAAAGATACGGAAAGCACCCCCCGAAAAGGGGATTAGGTTTCCCTTCTTTATTCTGTTCGTCCCTCCCTCCCTCTCTTCTTTTTTTTTTCACTGACAACCCCAAAGTTGAAGAGTTATGCAACTTGGTCCCCAAAATTTCTTTTTGATTAATCATCTCTACAAAAATTAATTAATTAATTATTCAACATAACTACCCAAAATTTGGGGTATTACATCCACCCCTCCTTAAAAAGAGTTCTGTCCCCAAAACTCAAAACCATGATCATTTAGAGTAGTGAATGGTTTCACGCAATCTAAGACAAAACAAGTGCCCATCATATGACAAACCATCGTAGAGCTAATACAATATAGAGTCAATAGCTTATATGGGATCATAATATAACTCTAAAGCATATATGTATTGGGAAAACAACTTCAGCACCCATTAGGTTCTTTGGCAACCTATAATTCATAAGTTGCCCCATTAACTTTTTTTTTTCTTATGAACAAAACATAACCTATTACTCTTCCACTATGCAACTTTGATATCAAACCACAACTAATCTAAAAGTAGATCACTAGCTACTTAGTGGGAATAACCATGAAACTAATCCACAAAACAAGTTACTAGAAGCTAGGGTGACATAGAAAACATAAGGAGCAGAAAATAGTGCCAAAGGCCACAAAAGTACATTAGTCGAATTATGTTACATTAACCCATAACAAGGATGAGTGAACAAGAAATGATGCAAAAGAATTTCAATGCACCAGCCAAGTAGAGACCCAAATCATGGCCTCTCCTAAACACAACAATTAGCTTCATGAAATAGTAGCATAAAATTCCAAATAGTACTTGTGAAAACCAAAGGAAAACACTTATAGAAAGCCACATGGACAAATTTTCCCATTTGTCACAACAAATTTTTTTTTTTGTTAGCAAGGATATGTTTGAGAGTATAACTTAACTCAGGAGTCTACAAAGGAACTACAAAGGATCTAGGCTCTTTAGAAATCAAATTTCAAATTTCAAATTCTGGGATAACTATCTCTATTTCTAAAATCACAATCCAGTATCCCATTTGTATTCCTAGCTTTAGGGTAAGATATGTCTAGAATAAAGTGACATCTCTAGCTGGAGCTCAAGGCCATCATAAAATTGATGGAGGAAGAACAATACATAACACCTTATGAAGTCAAGGTTTTTAACAAGATCCAATAACCAGGGAGGTCAATGGGGCCCCACGGGGATTTTTGATGGGGCCAAATTTTGCCCCCCATCCCCGTTTCCCACCCTGCACGAATCCCCATTCCCCGTCAATTAATATCAAAATATAAATTTTTTACATATAATTAATTAATATTCAATTATAATGAACAAAATTCTAAAAATTCAAGTACAATTGACTAAAATTCTTTAAATATAAAATCAAATATAAATTGTCCAAACATAAATAAAGATCAATTCAACATAAATAACTAAATCAACAAACTTGTTGATGATGGGTTGGGTTGTGTAAAATTGGGTTAAATTTAATTTTTATTGGATTGGATTTG